TGTTCATGACAGTTGTCGCCATTTTGACCAAACACCAAAGGTTGTGAGTTTGAATCCCACTTTTGACAACCTTTTTTTTTCTTTGAACAGGCGACTTGGCGACACTAATCTCAATTAAGCGATAACATATAGAACTATGTTCGCACTCACATCATACAATCATAGCAGCAATTGGAGGGTTCCAGAACGTTTTCTTGGCACAGTTATAAATGGAAGCTCGAGACTGAAGGGAACATCAAAATTGAAATAGATTTTTACATTTGAAGTGACAAAAACAAGAGTAAAAGTAAGAAATGAACTCGGATGGAGAGCCAAGGATTATTAATAAAAAAAGTAAAAAGGACCAAGAAACTACAAGTTACACTATAATGTCCACTAACACCACCAGTTACTAAACAATCAGCTCACGCGATAACATTGCACGACACTGACCGATGGTGCTGACGTTCTACAACTAACTGGCTAACAGCTCTAGCACATCTTGGATGCGCACTCCAGCAGCCTTCCAACTTGGAAGGTTCTAAGCTATAGAAATAACATAAGGAGGGGAAGGTGAGCGCAACCAAGATAAGCACGAGCTGAACGTCTCAGCTGTGGAGGACTGCAAGAAAGCACCACTCCCTGCTCAATACACAGTGTATTGGGGAATTCACCCTTCATCAGTTGAGCTTGAGTAGGCTGAGGAAGATTTTGCCTGAAGAGCACCACTTATATAGTGCTGTCCAGGCACAAAAGATCACCAGGGATACAAACTTACAGAGACGCTCCGTTTCCAGCACGACAAACACCTCGTGAACACCAGATAGCAGTGTGAGTCAGTGTTGCTCATGGAGGTGCTGAACCAGCGCTGAGGACCGTTGGCCATTCACAACGTTGTTGCCTCCAAACCATCTAATTCGCAAGCCCGCGCTGGGGACAACAATGTGAAGAAGAGGTTGATGCGACTTCGGCGATAGTAGGGGAAGGGGAAGAGTATGTTGCTCCTTACATGGGAACTCGTGGTTTTCCTGCCGACTTGAACTCTCACTTGACTGACTCACGACTGCCATCCAGAGCACACGAGAAGTGCATCGAATCATCCACTCGGGCTTGCGAATAGGGCTTGAAAGTGCTACGTCACAGCATAGCAACAATTTCAAAAATTCAAAAACTGGATCCACTTGGATCCAGTTTTTGTACGGATCCAAGCACATTTCAAGCAGTCTTACCCACAGCATGGTGATGTAGCCAGTGAAACTGACTGATTTGGCTACTTGGGGCGGGGTTACAACTGGTGGCGAAATAAAAGTCACACCTGCATGAGACATGATTGGGTTGCTATGCACCCACATACTTAGGCAATAGCAAAGTCACACCTTAGTGATCCAAAAATAGAAATCTGATGTCAACTTACTACTCCCTGGCCGTTTTGACGTCATCACTTTCAAGCCCTATTAGATGGTTTGGAGGCAACAACTTTGTGAATGGCCAACGGTCCTCAGCGCTTTTTCAGCACCTCCATGAGCGACACTGACTCGCGCTGCTATCTAGTGTTCACGAGGTGTTTGTCGCGCTGGAAACGGAGCGTCTTTGTAAGTTTGTATGCCTGATGATGTTTGTGCCTGGAGAGCACTACATAAGTGGTGCTCTTCAGCCACAATCTTCCTCAGCCTACTCTAGCTCAACTGATGAGGGGTGAATTCCCCGAAACACTGTGTATTGAGCAGGGAGTGGTGCTTTCTTGCAGGTTTGCCGAGTGGATGGTTCCATGGACTTCCCGTGTGCTCTGCTCTGGATGGCAGTCGTGAGTCAGTCAAGTGAGAATTCAAGTCGGCAGGAAAACTGCGAGCTCCCATGTAGGGAGCAACACACTCTTCCCCTATGACACTTTAGATGGACAATAACCAGCGGTAACAAGCAGCAGTTTCACACGATGATCGTTTTGCCGTATATAAGGACGGCTCATTAGGTGTGCAAGAATTAACTCGGATGGAGAACCAAGGACTATTTATAAAAGTAAAAAAGACCAAGAAACTACAAGTTCCACTATAATGTCCACTAACACCACCAGTTACTAAACAATCAGCTCATGCGATAACCTTGCACGACACTGACCGACGGTACTGACGTTCTACAACTAACTGGCTAACAGCTCTAGCACATCTTGGATGCGCACTCCAGCAGCCTTCCAACTTGGAAGGTTCTAAGTTATAGAAATATCATAAGGAAGGGAAGGTGAGCGCAACCAGGATAAGCACGAGCTCAAACGGTCTCAGCTGTGAAGGACGTTGGCGAATGTTCATGCATGTCGATGACAATACTGGCAAGACCAATTAGACAATACGTTGTTGGAGTGCGCATCCAAGATGTGCTAGAGCTGTTAGCCAGTTAGTTGTAGAACGTCAGCACCGTCGGTGAATGTCGTGCAATGTTATCGCATGAGCTGATTGTTAAGTAACTGGTGGTGTTAGTGGACATTATAGTGTAACTCACTGTAGCCTCTTGGCCCTTTTTACTTTTCACAAGTAAGAAAGTAGAATATAATTCAAGATTATAATACACTAGTGAGTGAGAAAACATATAGGTAAGAATAGACTACTCGTAGTCTTCGGGGTGCTGAGTCAAATGGTTTTTGTCCGAGGAAGCTGAGACGCTCCCTTCCTTCTTTATTCCCAATCGAACTCGCGCACTTCCGCCGAAACTGGGTGACTGCGCCCTACTAACATAGACGGGGTTTGTTTGCAAACTGTCACTAAAAGCTCCATTTCATTCTTATAAAAGCACGGATGAACGCGATTGGCCCATGTGTCGTAGTCTTTTGGACGCTGAGTCACCTTGTTTTGGTCCGTCGGAGAAGGCTGCAATGCAGCGTTCGGCCCTTATTCCCAATCGACCACGGTTGAGTACGCAGTCACATGCTGATGTGGTTCACCAGTCACCATGGTCACCTGGTCACCATGCCTGCAGGCTACAACTTTCACACCAAGGCATTCTTCACCCGACCGCAAAATGCGTTTTTAAAGTTTTAGTGTGCATGACTGTGTACTACACACGCCATCCTTATGATTCTAACTAAACACTGCAGACAAAAACAGCAAAGAATGCTCCCGGAAGGATCTCGGGCATAGGCTTCAAACATTCTCACATCTCAATTTCGCTTGCACAGAGCATTGTACAGAGCAACCAGAGACGAAATGGAACACGGTCAAACAACGCCAGCGGTGTGTGCGTCCGTGTAGGACGGGACACAATTTCCTGCTGACGGTAGGGCCTTTCGCGTCAAAACTCCCAGACCAAAACTGAAGTGATATTAGAGCAGATCACTCCTGATCCGCAGATAACGATCGATTTTCAGCAGTCCAGACATCGACCTCGGAAGCAGCCAAATGACAAGATACAGTGCTTGGTGACGACGCTGTGTTCTGTTTTCGCCGATCTGCAATCGGTCCTCAGCTGAAACAGCACCAACCCTGTCACCTCGTCGCTCATTCAGGCCAGAAGGTTTGGTGAGAGCTGCTTGTCTGGCTCGTTGGCCAGCAAGGCCAAGATCTGGTCCTGAGGGGACAATGCCAGCCTGGGCCGTCTACGGTCAGATTTGATCGACTGGCTTGATGGACAACGGCTTGGGTATTCGCTATGCACCATCTATGTACAGTCAAACCTCTTTAGGACGAACACCAAGGGACCGATGATGTTTGTTTGCAATAACGGGAGTTCTTCTTATCCGTATGGTTTACCCAGTGAATACACAGTGATTTCTCCAATGGAGTTACGATTCTTACGAATACTAGTTCTTCCTTAAAAGCAAACATTTGTCTTATCAGTGTTCTTCCTAACCAGGTTTCACTGTAATAGTCATTCAATGGTCATAATGTTCACACATTATGCACTGAGGGCAGAAACCAAAATAAAAATAAATATAAAAACCCGACCGATGGACCCAGGTACAAATGAGTGAAGCAACCCGAAACAACGAATTAAGGCTGGCTGGCCTTTGGGACCATCCGTGTATTTATTTAGAAACGAAAACTAGTCGTTTAGGGGGGGTTGAGCGCCTGTTCGTTTCTCGAAAAATTTCATTGCACAGTGTGTATGTGTGGGCACGTCCAGAAAAAAGAAAATAATTTCAAAATATCGATACTATATACGGTTTGTATGTGTTCGTTTCTCAGGGAGGGGGAGGGGGTTGAAGAGAAATGACTAGTTTTCGTTTCTAAATAAATATCGGTATCTACGGATGGCCCCTTAGTAAGATATAATGCGCTATCATCCTATATTTTCATGCATCTCCACACAACATCAAAGAACAATGTTTTGGATCAAAGAACGTTTTCTCGTGAGAATCATCAGCTAGAATGCGTCACTGAATGGTGAACAAAGACCATCAGGGTAATAAACAAGTAGATGTGTTAAGTGAATGTACAGAGTAAGAACACTGGTGTGTTTCAGTGTGATAAAACAAATGTGTAAGAAAAGACTCAAACTAGTGAAGATTTTATGACTTGGGGCTCCCCGCGTGCTAGTTTGTACGTGAAGTGTGTGGGTTACAGTGAGGGCTGCGTCCCACCCGCCTGTGTGGATTCATAGGAAGTGTGAGTTACGATGTCTGAAGAAAATGTTGAACAGTCTGCTGGGATGACGACTACACCATAGCTCAGTGGTTAGAGCATCGCTAGCTACAAGCGAGGGTTCCTGGTTCGGGTCCTGGTGGTGGCAGTCAATTTTTTCTTCAGACTTTTCCCGTTTGTCTCTTTCCCTCAAACTAGTGAGAAAAAAAGAGAAAGAGAGAGGAAAAACAAACGCCAAAGTGCGAATACAGTAAACAGTGCTCAGGAAAGAGAAAGAGAGGCAAAACAAACGCCACCATGCGAATACTAAAAAGTGCTAAGGAAAGAGAAAGAGACAGGCAAAACAAACGCCAAAGTGCGAATACAGTAAACAGTGCTAAGGAAAGAGTGTGTATGTTGTGATATAGTCTTTCTGAGTGCAGAGATCTGGCTTGTGCTTGTGAATGTAAACAGCTTCCAGGACCTGCAAGCGGTGACGATGATGAAGACGATGAGGAGGATGATTCCCTGTACAGTCTGGTGTACTATGATGAGGTCGGTGATCATAAGAAAAAGTCCGCAGTGTTTCAGCATAATTTTGTTGTTTAGTTAGCCATGTTGTTTGGCGTCTGATCGACTCTTCAAATAAAAAATGATGTCTCTCTTTCCCTCTGCCCCTCCCCCTATCCCTATCTCAGCCACACACACACACACACACACACGCACGCACGCACGCAGCACGCGCGCACATACACACACACACACACACACACAAACACACATACAAACAGATAGACAGACAGGTACAGTCGAATGTCACTTATCCGACCACTTCGGGAATCAGGCATGTTGGATAACTGAATATGTTGGATAACTGATATCGTTTTTTATGTGAATATATGGCTGGATTTCACTGATTTATGTACACAATACCCAAATATATTCATGCATATTCATGAATTACTCCATGTACACATACATGTTAGCATACTTGACCACATGCACATCTACTTCAAGGAAAAGAAAAAAAAATGCATATTACACCGTATAATATACAAAAAAAACAAAACAAAAATTTAGAATTTTACTGTTGAGAGTCATAAAATTACCACTCCCGGGCTTGTCGGTTAACTGGCGACCGGATAAGTGACATTCGACTGTACCGGTATATGATTGCTGCTGGTGGCGGCGGCACAGAAGTGCGAAGTAAAGTACACAGTTTCATTTCTTGTTTCGTACATCTAGCAGTTCAGTTCCGCTCATTCCCTCTCTCTCTGTCGGTTCTTATTGTGTATGTTGTACAGAGTTATTTTGAAGAAGTTCTACAGCCGCTCTCGGAACATGTAGACAGCGAGCAACTGGCTCACCAAGAGCCAGTAAAGCTACTTGCCGCCCCGATACCGCGTTCCTATTCTGAGAAAAACCTCAAGCCGATATTCGCACACTTTGGAACTGTCGTGGACATGGAAGTTATCAAGGACCATGATTCGGTCTATAACAGAGGCAAGCAATTTTCAAATAATTGTAGAAATGGAAATTTTCTTGACGATGATTTTCTGCCTTGAGTTGCATGCACTTTGCGTGCAACACTGTATGTAAGGTTGTTGCTTGAAATAGATTGGAAGCAGAAATGTTTTTGTTGTATGTTCTTGAAATGGATTGATTGTATCTATTTTTCATGTTTTCACTTGCCGCGCAGGATATTGCTTTGTAACATATGCGAACAAGGACAGCGCGGACAAGGCCATGAAGGCTCTCCATGGTATTTTTTCCCATCCAGGTGTAAGTCTGCTTGTGGTCCTCTTTCGGAGTGTGCACCCAACGAGCCCAGTGCAGTGCAAAGTCCGAATCGGTGAAATTCTTTTCCACGTGGGCTATATTTTTCTGATCTTATGTATCTGTGCATGGTGTTTAACCAAGGTTTCATTTTATGCATGGGGAATCCATGTACATCACGCCCCTTCGAGATAATGCTGAGAAAACAAATCCAGTATTATCTAACAAATCAGCCAAACAAAACAAGAAAAGAATAATTATGGCAAACAAGGGCCCATAGCACGCGGCGGAACAGACAGTACATGTACACGATGTGTCCTGAACAAATCAAGATGCATAAGACTGTCCGCGTGTGGAGGAAACGGTCAAACGAGAGGGTGGTTGGCGTGCTCGTTTTCTGCGACGCAGAGGGTGAGGCATAGCAGGAGCAACGACAACAGACGACTGTGGTGAAACACATGGTGCTGGTGACGGCACAGGCGGAGAGAATGGGCGAAGAAACCGCGATTTCTCCAATAAACTCGTCCACTGGCCAACTTGACGAAATAGTCCCGGTACTGCCCAATGGCCACAATCACGCCATGGGTGTGGTCCAACGTTTCGTCTTACAGGAGTGCCGATACGGAGAACGGGAAGAGAGCGGTGGGTGAGAGTACTGGCGGAAACAGGTGTCGAGGGCGATGACTGTTCTTCACGCTCACTAGCGACGGTCGACCACGAGGAATCAAACTGCGTCCATTCAGCAATGACGAGTGACGGAAGTGGATGCCCGAGAAGATGCTCAGCTGGTCTCTTGCCAGACGGACCGGGCGTATTCTGCCACTCCAGTAGGCCACGGCGGAATGAATCTGTGTCAAGATTGCCATTGGTCGAAGTCTTGAGCAGCAAGCGCTTCATAGCTTTCACTGCGGCTTCCGCATGCCCATCACTCTGGGGATAGTGCGGAGAAGAAGATTTAGAAAAGCGATCCTGTCAGCTTTTCTATTATTGTGTTCACATGGCAGAAAAAACGACATCGCTATGCTACGTAAGTTTCTACGTAAGGTGCTCGGTATTTCACTTAGGCTACGTAAGTCTCTACGTAAGGTGCTCGGTATTAGATCTACCAACGCGTGGTAGCCGTGTGCTGTGCACGTGCACGGCAGACATTGTGTTCAGTGCATGCAGTCCGCGGATCCGTGTTCGGATGTGCATGCGCGAGGAACTTCCTTCTTTGGAACTGCTTCTTGCATGAGCTGTTTCGGATATTTCGTCTCATGGCCTGGCTTATTTCGTTTCGGCGCTGCTGAGACCTCCTTTCGCGGAATATTATTCAATGACAGGTGAGTTGACCAGTTGCCTTTGATTCATTTGCTTGTGTTGACTCTTTCATTCAGGAAAAGTGTGCTGATTTTGGGGCGGAATGCAATAAATAATGGAAAAGTTGACAGGATCTCTTTTCTAAATTTTGCTTTTCTGCTGCCGAGCTGCGAGGCCTCCTTTTACGGAATACTCGATGACAGGTGATCTCTAAGTTGACCGGTTTCCTTCGATTCATTTGCTTATGTTCACCTTTCATTTACGGAAACGTGTGCTGACTTTATTCGGATTTAGATCCATTTTTATCTCTTTGCCCTTGTCTACAGTGTGCGAAGAACGCGAGTTCAACTTCTTGACGGTAAGGGTTATGTTAGATGTGTTGTCGAAATACTCATATTCATTGTACATTGGTACGTTACAAGTAAGGCACTGGTCAGTAGCATACTATCGTTGGCAGTTCCCAATCTGGAGGGAAAGGTTCAAGTACCAATTGACCGAGTTTGCAAAATAAATTCGCATATCAGGGGAAATCTCTATTGTGGAGAGGTTCAGTAACTTGTTTGTTTCATACGAAACAAGCCAATGGGTGCAGTCTCGTCTCGTGAAAATCTCGTACTTGTATGATTGGATTTGTTTAGTCAAGTCTGGGCTGTTTGATTTGTGAGTACCGCCGAGATTGCACTGCCCCAAATAAAGTTTCGTGCCGCCAAAGCAAGAATTACGATCTGCAATCTGTTTGTAGTACCTGTAAGAATGTGAAGTACATGTATCGTACTTTCTCTGTTGCTGTTTCAGTTGCCGTCATGTTGCTAAAGAAAGGTTCAGTAGAGAGGTTCTGCAAAACGAAAATTCGAACGAAGTTTCGCGACAGTCCTTGCGAAAGTGTGTGCGAATTTTTGCACGAACTTTGCGTTCTGCACATTTTCGTAGTTTGCGCGGGCCAAGTGCCATGACCCGATCTCACGAAATTTCCTACGACAGTTCATTTCGCGTTCCCTGCAAGTTTCGCGTCCAAAGGTCCGAAGTTTCGCACTTCATGATGTAGAGCGAAAGTTTGTACGCATTTTCGTTTTGCAGAATCTCTCTAGTGACTCAATTGTTTCATACGAGACGAGTCAATGAGTCGGTGTGGCTTAGAATCTTTCGCTGTAGAAGAAATCTATTCGTATGTCTATTGGAGATATAATTGTATTCTCTGGTTATAAAATAGGTTAAGCTCACAGAATAAATACCATCGGTCCCTTGGAGTTCGTAAAGAGGTTCGACTGGATATCATTCATTCTCACCAAAAGATGTGTAAGATTTTATTATTGTGGAGTGCCTTGTTTATCTCTCAGTACCTCCAATCATAGCCTTGCCCCTTTTCTCCTCAGGATCAGTGTAGTTGTTGGAATGAGGTTTTGGACTCAGCAATGTATTCGTTTACATTTTAATACATGTTTATTGTTCCTCCTTTGCTGTGTTGTTTTAGACAATCGTGGACTAACAGTTTGAAGTCATTGAACTACTTCCAAAAGTTGTATCGACATCAACAGGATTACGATTTCAGTTTCAATATTATGCTGGATGACCTTATCACGATAACCCATGACTATAAACCATTATAAAAACAGAATCAACAAAAACATCTGCGACACGCACCTGGCGCATGGCTACATTTCTCAAATAAATCTGATTGAGGGTGGAGAAATCTGAAATATCTGAAAGGCAAGACAATTTTATGACAGTCATGAAATTCTGCAACAGCAACATGCACAGAATGACCTCCGTATAAAAAAAGTATCACCGCCACTGCTCACATGTTTCCCCGCAGAAGAACATGCATTATGCTAGTGCCATTTTCTGCAAGAAAAGGCTTGCATGTCAATGCGTATAATAATTATGGTATTGATATGATGTGAAGGCCATCATTTACATATTGATATAGGGCATTCCATTGATTGGTGACAGAAAAAACAAAAGAAATTATAGCAATAAAAACTGCTTTATGGCAGTTTTCTAAAAAAAGTTATTGAGTTCTAGTCTATGGACCCCGTCTAAAAAGTAAGAAATTAACGAAATGTGATAGCTGAAAATTAAAATTTCACACAAAACCTCACAATAATCACACACAGAATGAAAAGCTACATGCAGAAGACCTTTTCCCCTCGTGATCCTCTTTCCTATGCATGCATGTATTGTTGCCACTTTGATTGTTGGTGCCGCACAAGTTTAGTGTTGAAAGCAGCATTTCAAGTGTTGTGATTATTGTGAGGTTTTGTGTGAAATTTTAATTTTCAGCTATCACATTTCGTTAATTTCTTACTTTTTAGACGGGGTCCATAGACTAGAACTCAATAACTTTTTTTAGAAAACTGCCATAAAGCAGTTTTTATTGCTATAATACACATTGCACCTGCCAACAGCTACAGAAGTCGGCAAACTTCTTAGATACAAACTGGGGGTCACCATCGGTGCACAGAACGGCAGGCACACCCAGATTGGCAAACAACGACGGCAAGCGAGAATGGCATTATGTGATGACGTGGTCCTGCCGGTTCGAACAACGCACGGCCAGCCAATCAAACAATCGACATGTACAAGAAACTCATAGCCTTGGCAAGAGAACAGATCTGCTGACACAGACTCGAACGGCAGTGTGGAATGACGGTCCTTCATCGATGGTTCGGCTGACTGCGAACACTGGAATTCTCGATACGCGGAACAGACACGGACAAGGGTGTCTCTATCGGTGGTGAGACCAGGCCAGTATACGAGCTGTCGGGCATGAGCCTTAGTACGGACGAGTTCTTGATGGGAGGCATGAAGGTTAGCAAGAACGAGTTGACACATAGCCAAGGGAACACGAATGCGTTGGCCTTTCATGATGATGCTCTGGTCCACGGACAGGTGTTCACGTCCATTCCAGAAGGGTCGGAGCGGAGCATCCCAATCACACTGACGAGCGGGAAACCATGCAGAACGCACTGCACAAGAGACTGATAGACAGGATCAGCTGAGGCGACTGCTCGAAGTACAGCAAACTTCAGTTTCATGTGGGGACTGCAGGGGCGTAGCAGCCGGTCTCGCCAATCCGGCTTTGGCCGGACCACTTTTTCGCCCAGAAGTGCCCACAATGCAGGATTTTGCACCCTATTTTCCCCCAGATCCCCTCCAACCGCTCCACCTCCAACGGCGATGCTACGTGCCTGAACCATCATCACGGAGCATGCAGACGCGGATGCTGCGGCATTGAAGAGCCGGAGCTTCGCCAAGTTCGTCATCTGAAGACGGGATGCCGCCGGGATTACCAGATAGCGCATCAGCAAATACATGATTGGGGCCTTTGCTTCAGGCGAAGACGGAGAAGGCGAGGATTCTTGATTTGATCCAGAGAATACGAGTTGACAATAGGGATCAACGGACGGTGATCAGTAATGAGATCAAACAGATAAGTACAATTTGCACTTGTGTAAGACCCATACGACGGCGAGTATCTCAAGTAGTTCAACAAGTGTACGCTTCTCATTGGCTGAGAATTTGAAAGAAACGAGAAGCAATGTTCTCTCGAACTTCGAATATTTGCGTCTTGCAATGTGGCTGTCCTCAGCCGACCGACCCTGCACTGTGGTTTTGCTGTTGCAAATGTGAGGTGTGAGAGAGAACAACATAGCGAGATTCGGCGTCAGAGAGATTGCGGGAGCCACACTGAATGACTCGCCACTTGTTGTCCTGCTTCTGCCACAGAACGAAGCCGAGACTACACAGGGCAGAGGCATCAGTCTCCAGACGGAGGTCATGTCCATGCTGGTAGAAAGCCAGGATAGAAGGAGACAACAGAGCAGACTTGGTCTTCTCGAATGCAACATTGTGGTTGGCATCTCGGGCAAATTCAAGGGTCGTCTTCAACAGGCCACGAAGCGGAGTGGTGCAGGCGGTAAGGTGCGGTGAGAACTCGCTACACTGGTTCATCAGGCCAAGAAACAAACGCAAATCAGTGAGGTTCGCAGGAATGTCCAAATCACGAATGGCAGCTGCCTTGTCATCGTCAACAACCCAACCGTCTGGACTGACGATGTGCCGCAGAAATGGATGAGACGTGATGCAAAGGTGAGTATGGACGAGCTCAGAGTAATGCCATGCTATCGAGCACACAGCAGGATGTCACGGACATGGTTGACATGGGAGGCAAAGCCATCATCACAGGCCAGGTAATCATCTACAACCTTGACAAAATTCGAGATTGCATTGAACGCAGCATCAGTGCGGCAGTTGAAAACATCCCCGGCGGAAATCAGGCCTTGAGGGTTGCGTAGGAAACGATACCTGCCGTATGGGGTGATGAATGTGTTCATTGGACATGCCTGCTCACTCAGTGGAATTTTCCAGTATCCGTGCATTGCGTCAAGCTTGGTGAGGAACTGTGCCGATCCAATACCAGAAACCACATCTCGAGCGGTGCGAACAGGGTGGGCTGCTCTCAGGACTTGTCATTCAGTCATTTAAAATCAACGGTGAGGCGTTTTTCAGTGGTGCTTTCTTATCGACGGGCACAATTGGGTGACAGCATTCACTAGGCTCACTAATTGGCTCTATTATGCCATCGACAATCATTGTGTCCAGTTGTGACTTGACCTGGTCACGAAACGGGTATAGAATCGGGCGTGCGGTATGGACACATGTCGGCTTATCATCTGGTTGAAGTTGGATGTCCATCAGAGGACCTGCCATCGCCTTCACGCCGGTATCGGAAAATACGTACGAGAACTCCTGCAGTAGTTCATCGCGAACACGAGCGATATCAGCAGAGCTAGGATTGACGACAGGCTTTGACACAGCACGGACCTTGGGTGGCGCGGCATCATGAGCAGCAGGCCAATCTGACGGGAGGAGCTGGAGTGCACTCAAGGACGAACGTGGTAGAAGATCGTCCAGACCCTTGTACACATAGATTACGGTGCTGTGTTGTACTTCGCCAACCTGAAATGAAGCACGGATACTGCCGACATTCTGCAACTGCTCCCCAGATGCAGCTAGGATGCAACCTGGGTCATGGACGAAGTTCTCGGGGAAACCGCCAAGTATTTCGAGGCGATGCTCGCCGATGGCATCGATGTCACTGCCAGTATTAGGGACCCAGGGTAGCGTGACTGCCTCATCCTCAGTGGCTAAACGGGTGGACGCACGCACAGTAGGCTGCGCAGCAAGATGAGTACGCTGCAACTTAAGTAGGCCCACATGCTTCACATTCCGGTCCGATTGGGACGACGACCTACACATAGCGAAAAGTGACCAGTCTTGCCACAGCCATGTGTGTGTGTCACGATAATAACCTCGCATGGGAATCTGCGTAGCTCCTCGTCTAGAGCTTGCCGTAGGGAGGACACTCTTGTGTCACGGCTCTGGGCGGACAGGTGTTGACACTCGTAATAGTCTTGCCACATCTCCTGCCATGCCATGAAATCGGCCAACGTCGAGGATGACAGCAAAATAGGCTTTGGAGCTGGTGCCGAAGATCCGGTGGTGCTGAAGATCCGGTGGTGCTGAAGATCCGGTGGTGCTGAAGATCCGGTGGTGCTGAAGATACGGTGGTGCTGAGTTGTGTTTGTTGCATCAGCCTTTGTGTAGTTTGTTGGAACAGGTCAGCCATTTAACGTTCCCTCTCCTCCGAGGACTTCACTTGTGCCGCCAACATCTTGGTCAGGGCAGTGACGTCAGCAGCAGGGTCTGAGTTGGACATCGTGGTCTCGAACTACGGAAATACTGGTATCCCGAGCAAACTACAAAAACACAACGAGGTGCAAACACAAAGCACGAAAAAACTATAAAACACACAGATGAGTTCTACAAGGAACGAACGTTCATTGCGCCATGATTATGTCTACAAGAAGACTAAAATAATATAATATAAACAAATCTGAATAGAAGGAAAACACAACTGAAGAGGCAAAGCACATGAAGCACGGAAATTTCTCCCAAGCCAAGCAAGCATGCCGTTATGGTGCGAGGTCATACAACTGTGGTACAAATCTAGTACGGGAGTACATAAACTACAGATCACATATGGCATGGGGAATCCATAATACATCAGTAACCAAGTTGCTTCTCATCTTTGTCCTTGTTCCAGTAGATTCCGTAGGTTACCGTTTGCTAGGTCAATGTATTGTGTGCTGACCCGACACATGTGAGCATGATGCTACTGACTAGACACTGTTAGGACCTGTCTAGACACTGTTAGGACCTGTCTAGACATGCGATTGTCTGTACCGTAGCATTAATCTAGTACATGCATGGCATGCAATACCTGCCGGATCATATTACGGAACTGGTTGCTGATTGGCTGTAGGTCTGTTCGCTTTATCAGCTGTGCCTTTGTTATAGTACCAGTTTCACATTGTAGGGAGAGAGTTTTGTCCTGGGAGAGGACAACAGCAGATTTGGTATGTCCGTGCCAAGGCACGATGATGTGTGCATACTATTAATCTAGAGGTTTTCGTTCAGTTTAATACGAAGAACAGAAATAAATACAGTCTTCCTCGGAGTCCAGATTCCGTGATCAAACAGTCCTGTTTTGTTCTCTTTGGGTGCAGATGGAGGACCCGTTGCAACTGACGCCAGTGGATGACAATGCAGAACCAGGATCGCGTCAGAATTTGGGTCCTTTGCTCGTTCCAGGTGGGTGTACATGTGTGTTTGTCTGCATTGTGTCGTAGACGCAAGTGTGCGCCGTGCGTACTCTTCTGTACTGTGTGTGTGTGTTGCGGTGACGATGACGATGGTACGACTGCTCCACTTCAGCGTCAACTCGTGGATTAGCAAAATGGAGACTACAAGCCAGGGGCTCTCCAAGAGCCAGTGAAGCTATTTGTCGGCTAGATACCGGGGTCCGACTTTGAGAAAGAACTTCAGCCGATATTTGCAGAGTTTAGAACTATCGTGGACTTGAAAGTCCTCAAGGACCAGGTTGCGGTCAGGGGTGCGAGGAATTTTCCCGGAATATTTTGGGAATACTATCGTTCATAAAGTTTTTGAGAATTTTAGGGGAATTCTATCGATTTTTTGCCAGATCCATTGACCTTCAGAAGAATTTCGGGGGAAATTTTGTGAATTTTGACCTGCCGCTCACTCACGTCCCGCCTGACTACAGCTGTAGCAATAGATCTTTAGATAGAGGATAGGATGTCTGTAGATCCTGCATGCGGCAGTAGTGCATCAGTGATCACGTGCCTGGCCGGCCATTTTGCATACTAAAGCGCATGCGCCAGGCACGATTCGTGCTGGTTTGTTGGATGGATTTGGGGAATTCTGGAGAATTTTTTCGATGTTTTTGGAGAATACTTTTGGATTTCTGCGGGAAATGCCCAAAAGCATAGTATCAGGTGCGTACTGGCATAACCCGCGCACCCCTACTTCGAAGCAACTTACGGACCATCATAAAGGTGAGTAATTTTCGAATAATTGTAGAAATTGGAATTGGTTTCTTGACAATGATTTTCTGCCTTGAGTTTCATGTATTTTACATGCAGCAGAGCTCGCCTTTTTACCTTCTCTGTCTGTGAGGTTGTTGCTAGAAATAGATCGGAAGCAGTTCTTGAAATGTTTTGGTCACAATTAGTTACAGCAAACCAGATGCGTAGTACTCGGTGACTCGTGTGAAATGTTTTGCTTGTATGTTCTTGAAATAGATTGGTTGTATTTTTTATGTTTTCCCTTGCCTCGCAGGATATTCTTTCCTAACACATAAGAACAAGGACAGCGCGGACAAGGACAGCGCGGACAAGGACAGCGCGGACAAGGACAGCGCGGACAAGGACAGCTCAGGCAAGGACAGCACCGGCAAGGACAGCGCCAGCAAGGACAGCGCGGGCAAGGGCTGTGCGGACAATGCCACCCAGGCTGTCCCTAACAGACGTCATCCCAGAGGTGTAAGTCTGTTTGCGGTCCTCTTTCGGAGTACGTATACTCTACCGGCCCAGTACAGTAGGAAGTCCGGGTCGGTCAAAAAATGTTCCACGTGTGCTGTATCTTTTGATGTTATGTATCGATGTACGGGGTTTAAACAGGCGATGTGGAGACGATAATCTTAGGCTGTGATCGTTTGGTTGGATCCAGATCGAGTTCCATAAGATCCACTGGATCTGCAGTGATCGATTGGTCGAATCCCGATCCAGATTCCTCGGATTTGGATCCGAGCAACCCTGCCCCAGGAGCAGGGTTGACTGGATCCATCGGATCCATTTGTGCCAAGCGTGACGTTTGTACGTGTTTGACGGGTAATCAATCCTTGTTATACGCGTTTAGTACACATACAGTCAACTTTGCGCATAACGACACTCGGCCGGGCATCAGAAAAGTATCCTTATTCGCGAAGTGTCGTTATACCCAAAGTCTCATTACATGTATACAGGTAGTATGGACTTTGCTCTGGGCATGGAAATTCTGTCGTTACTCGCGAATTGTCGCTCTATCCGCAGTCGATATTAGCGAAGTTGACTGTACACATGGAAAAACGTTGCACCATGCAGATCAGTACGACGAGTGTGGACCTGGACTAACTTTTCGAACGTGGTTTTTCTACCTTAGTACGGCATGGTCACGCACAGTTCCAAATGCGATCGGTTGATTCTGAGGGATCCAGTGGATCTGGGATCTGGATCTTGATCTGGATCCGACCAAACAATCTCAGCCTTAATAAAGCAATGAGTACAACTATGTGAGCACTCTTATCATAATCATAGAAATTATATTCACGGGTTTGAGGGGAAGACGCAAACGGGAAAAGCCTGAAGAATTTTTTTCTCAATTTTTTAATAATTTAAATAGAAGAAATCACATGAAAACGAGGTTTGAAGCAACTATCCACGACTGTAGCAAGATAATAAGCAGTTAGAAAGTGTGACAACAGGGCACAAAACTGACGTGTTACTGAGACATTCAATGACCTGAGACCTAGCTCTCACACACCTCCAGTGCGCAAACCAACAGCCTTCCAGCTTGGAAGGTTCAAGGTTTCCATGTAATTTCTTCTATTTTAATTATATTATTGGCTCAGTATCCGAGTTAACCCGACTGCTGCATGGACGATAAGTGCTGCGAATAGTGATCATGCGCCCTGGCCTGAGTAGCTCGCTTGGCTAATTGAAAGTCTGCCGACCTGGGCCACATTATGTTGCTAAGGCATGCACAACCCCAGTCACAGCGCGCAAGTTGGTTGAGTTTGGCCGTCAGGAGGCCAGCGCAAGGTATCCGGGGCGCGGGTCTGATTCCAGCGAGGGGCAATGTGGTACCCCGCAGCGCAAGGGTAGCGTGATACCCTAAGCCAGCGTGCGTGCTGCATGAGTAGCGTGATACTCGCTGAGCGCTTTTGCTGTTGCCTAGCAACGCGTTTCTGTCTTTCCTGGGCCCCCAACGCATGTTGGGTGGCCCTGCGCATGACTGCACGTTGTCATAGCAACCTTGGAAACCTCAAGCCGGTTACCAACAAGCTAGGAATCAGACCAAGCCGCCGAATGCCCCCGCCGGCCCCCGGCGCTTCATTGCAATTGAATTAATATTTGTCCAGAATAGTGAGCTAGGACAGATCAAGAGGCGTGGGTGGGAGGGAGAAATTGCAAAACAGTTGGATGCACGCAGCAGCACAGCTAGCAAGAGAAAGAGCCGTGGATGGGTTTGTTCCTGTTTTTGATGGCTGTGGCCATCCGTTGGCCCAGCGGTCTCGTGTGAGTACGGTGTTTGTTCGTGCTGCCAGCTCGCGCCCGGCATTTGTTTGCGCTGGCAGCTCGGGCCCGGTGCGCGAGTGAAACCGAACCGTGACAAAGGCTTTCGCTCTTTAGTGCTATTGACTGGCTTTTCATACGATGCCTATTGATGTCTAGAGACATGCTGTCTAGCCTTCCCCTAGTACGCATTCACGGGGCTTTGTTGAAGTTCGTGCCGTGAACTGCCAAAGGGAACTGTTTGAATGGTGCTGGGGCGAGTGCGACATTACGGCGTCCCTGCAGCCGGCCTAATCGCGTTTGTCGCCACAACCGATTTTAAGGTAACCTAAGAACACCAGGAGAAATTCCATGAATCTCGCCAGAGGCCGAAAAAATCATACGGGAGTGTAAAAATGCGCAAAATTAGCAATTCAAGAAGCAGGCAGAAAACATTCCAAGGGTCAGCTAGTCAACAGGAGGGAGGTTAGTGCCCCGGACAATCCAGCAAGGAATAAAAAGTACGTACTATGTACAAAAACACTATCCATAGAGATACGCTGCACGGAAGAGTCCAAAAACACCTAAAAATGGAGAAAAATAGCTATCAAAATTGGCAAGTTTTCCTGCATATTGGTAGCTGCCAGTCACACTAAAACATACCAGACCCATAAGTTGGCTCCTCAGTCTCCACAGCTTAATCTTCCAAGCCCTTCTTGATCCTCCTGAGCCTCTTTCTCCTTGACTTTGCTGCTGCACTGCACTTTGCAAGGCTGTTCTCCATGCGTGAAACATCGAGATCGGAGAAGGCTGAACGGGTGCAGTCTCCAACAGGGCAATTCATTTCGCGAAGGATGTGCTCAATCACCAATGCCATTGTTGAAATGAATCACAGCAAGGTAAACAGCGATGTTGACAACACATGCACCAGCAAACTCCGTTTTAGGAAAATATGACCATACCAGCTTGTTAAAACACTCATTGCGATTCTGTGTCGCACCCTTCCTGCACTTCAGTAGCAGCTGCTTGTCGGCAAGTTCACGGTACACAGGCACCATCAGTTCGTAGATAGGCTTCGGTAGAGGGCTGTGGTGTTCGTAAGGCTTGTCAGCAGCAGCTTTGTGGTAGCCACACCAGCTATCAGTTGGGCAGAACTCATGACGGGATTCTCATCAGTGGATGCACGATGACAAAGCGAGGCACAAATAGCTTTCCGCACAGCGCAGTAGTCACCACTATTCTCTCTTATCCCCTTCCCATACCAGTTCTGCAAGGAGTCAATGAGCTTGTTTGTCAGGCGTCCACTACCGCTGATAGTCGGATTTGCCGTCACTTAGCGACTTGGCCAGTCTCCCATGCAATAACGAACAGAGCACCATAGAGTGAGGAAAAGCCGCGGCGCATCCAGGTACCATCTGCTGAAACAGTCACGTCACCGCCGACAGCATCTTGCACAGCACTGCTAGCACCACCCATGCTTTTCTCAGCAACTACCTCTACTGCAGAATATAGAGCATTCTGGTGGCCAGAGAAGCTGTTCCGACTCATTGGCGTTGGCATATTGAGCACTGCACATAATTTTACTAGTGCTTGACGACCACGGCCAATCATGCGCATTGCGAACACTGCGATTTATTTCGTAAAAAGATCCTGGGAGCTTGGGCGACATGGACAAAGAAACTTCAGTAGGACACTCTGAACATGAGAAGGTAATTGTCGCAGCCAGGCCACTGCGTTTTCCCTCCTTCACAATCACATTGCCACTCTTGCATGACTTGCACACACAAAAAAGTGCAATGGCAGCGAGCAGGAGGCCCAAGCTCACAAAGCGATTCCCAACGCCAGAGAAACAATCACTTGCACCTGCAAGGCCAGTTTCTTGGTGATCAGAATCACCGGCATCGCTCTCTGACTCGGAGCTGCTGCCCATGACCACATTCCAAGTCGAAAAACTCAAATCTTGCAATTAAAAATTATTTCTCAGAACTGCTCCTTCTAGTGGCGATCGCCTCTTCTTCATGATCCGCGACGGCCTGCTCTTCCGGCGCACTTGCACTACCTTCACGACCAAATTGATTGCCGTGAAATACTCTCTTGGGTGTTCTAGAACGTCGCTTTGCATTGCCTATCGTCTCCAGCAGCTCCTGACAGCAACTTTGACAATGTAAAGTTGTCACAAAATTAAAAAAAAAACACATATTTTGCCCAAGTTCAGCTGGTCGCGTACGCGAACGCGTAGGCGGCTACACCTCGTGACCATGCGATCACCAGTGAGTGCGTTCGATTATGCACTTGAATCGATTCATGAATCCATTCGCATGCATTCAAGTCGTTCGATTTTCACGTCATGAGCACTGGAATCGATTCGGAATCCATTCACCCTATTCACATGGGGTGATGTGAATAGCGCGACTCGATTCATGAATCTATTCACGGGCATAATCGAACGCACTCACTGAGGGAACACACTTACTGAGTGCTGGAAGCATGGTGTTATCAGAATTTGCCAACAAATCGAGCTTAGAATCACAGGAAACGGCTAAATTGGTGGATTTCCGATTCCGAAAAGTCACTGATGCGTACTCCAAATTTTCAAATTTAATTGTAATCTTCTAGTGCGCATAATCTCCTGTTCCATTGATCGTGATAAAAAAAACTTTACACGTGTATTCTATGGATCAACACCTTTCGTTTGAGCTATCTCTCGACCTGATCGGACAACTTTCAATTTTTTCGATATACATAATATTTTTCCGAAGTTTGTGCTTTTTCTTATTATTGGTTGATTAATCTGGTGGTGAAGACACACCTGGCAATATGATGGTAAATACACACCTGCCCAAACACGCTCTCTAGGCTGCAAAGTTCATGCACAGAGCTCTCCTTCTCACCAACACCACCACCACCATCAGTTCGCGCATGGCGCCTAGTCGATGGATGATTGGCGGTATCGGCTCCCTATGAAGACATCCAAGAAGAATATTGCCTGATGAGTCCAGCGGGGACGGAACGACTGGTTACGTGCGTTACAATCGAGCTATTTCGTTCTTGTGTCGTCTTCTGTGTGCCATGCGCTACCTGGTGTACCAACCTGCTATGTCGGATACCACTAGCCATGCATCGACTAGGCGCCAGGCGCGAACTGATGGTGGTGGTGGTGAGAAGGAGAGCTCTGTGCCAGAACTTTGCAGCCAAGAGAGCATGTGTGGGCAGGCCGTATTACCGCCATATTGCCAGATGTGTCTTTGCCACCAAACGACATCGGTGTAGATGATGATAACTGTTTGATACAAGAATACTTCGAAGTACTAAAAAAGAAAGACACCACTGCAGCTCTACTCTCTCAAATGGTTATCATCATCTACACGGGTGTCGTCTGGATCGGAAGTGTCTTCTGCATCAGAGTATATCTAATTGTGTTACTCGTTGAATGGGCTTTCTGCATAATACTCCCGCCATTTGACCTTGAAGGGCAAGTCCACTAAATCAGTACACACTGTGATACCAATCCTGCCTCAAAGGTCATAAACTGTGTACGATCATACCCACAAATGTACTATATCTGGCTGTACTTGCCAAATATGGGACAAGTTGCCCTCAGGAAGGCGGCGGCCATGTTTTATGCATACACCCCATTACCTTTGGCAGTAAATTCCTTCTGAAGAGATGGCAACGAAAACGTTCAAGGGAAGGAGATCTAACCTGTACGAACGGTGTGTGTTTAGAATGCGCAACTTGCTTTACTTATTGCGTTGTATTCTTGTATCCTTGTTTTCCACTCCAAGTGCATAAATCCTATTGCAGTTTCATCCTTCCCTTAAGTTTTAGTCACGAATTCCATTGATAATTGTGACAAGAAAACGTTCTGGCATCCTAAAATTGTTGCTATGAATGTGATATATGTGTGCACATAGTCATATTCATAGCCTTGTGCAGTGTTTATTTAAGGGTGTTTTTTTCTGTTACTAAGTTACTTCTCATCTTTGTCCTGTTTCGTTCTGTTTTTGGATGCAGATGGTGCGGCCTTTGCAAATGAAGTTAGCGGATAACAATGGAACAAAACCGGATAAGAATCATTCTAGTTCTTTGCTTTCTTCCATCCAGGTGGATTTGCATGTGTTGTTGTATCGATACGCATACTGCTGTACTGGTATGCGTACAGCAAGTGACCGGGGTATTGCGGACTTTCGCTCATCGTAGTACCGATACTTGATGTCCGGCATACGCTGTTTGACTTGGTGACACGTGGTACTGCTTTCCACTTGTCATGTGCTCCTGATCAGTTGTAGTAGGACTGCACTTGAACCTGCTCCCGTCCCCCCCCCCCCCCTCCTTCCCCCTCCCCCCCCCCCCCTTCCCCACCTCCCCTTCCCCCTGTTTCCAGTGTCAGAGCCTATTCAAATAGTTATGTTGAACAATTGCAGTTTTGCCTTGTTGAATGCTCATTGTGTCAATGTAATCCTGTGATACGAGTTACATGGTCTTTGGTGTGTGTTTGTGTTGGTACATTTTTAGAGAAGCGAACGCTTTTCATCGGCAAACTCTCTAAGAACATCGGTGAATCAAACATTCGGGATCTGCTTAGCCCGTATGGCACTGTCGAAGAGTGCAAGGTGCTACATTACGACAATAGTAACAAAAAGTCGTGTGCATTTGCCACCATGGGGTCCAGGGACGAGTGCTTATCTGCCATCAGGGACAATTCCAGGGCAACGCAGGTAAGGAATGATACCACACTGGTTGTTATCACACAGCTTTGCCAGACTCAGAATAGGCAGAAAATACATCCATCGCAAAGAACTTGACATCCCTAAAAAGCCGTGCAAAAGACTCTTACCACGGTGTAAGGGTGAAACCCAAGTTATGCTGGAGGTTGCACATCCTGCCGACTCATTTAACCCTTGACTGACTCACAACTGTCATCTGGAGGACAGGAGAAGAACCTTCCACTCGACAAACTTGCAAGAAAGTGCCACTCCTTCCTTGAAATGTATTGAATTGCAGAAAGAACCAGAAAGAATAGCCGTGCAGTGTTTTTCCACAAACAAACAAGCGTCGCAGAGATGCAGAAAGAGACAGAGGGAGAAAGTGGTGAAAACCTGAGGACTGAAGTGTAATGGTGACCCCCTCCACCATCCTGACTGACACTAGCTAGTGTTCATGGTGTTGTGTGAATGTCTCCTAGTACAAGTACGTGTACTAGCTGCTTCTGTTCGTTGCTGTGTGCACTGTTTGTGTTCTTTCCTGTATACATGAGTACTTGCATGGCGTTGTCGTTCAGGGATGAGTCGTGCGTGACTCCTTGTTCCACTGCATGTGCGGTGTGCTTCTTATCTTCTAATCTATAGGCTTCTTGCGGTTGGTGTCCGCTTTCTCTTCATGATAATGAGCCACTGCGTTGTATAGACTGCATGACGTGCTAACGGTGGCTGCCGTGCGGTGTGTGCGATTCACTGCATTCCTGACACTGCTGCTTGCAGGCGCATACATGTACTGCACCTTCGCGTGCTCTGTACTTTAGTCTTTAGTTCCGGTTCGATGCACCATGCGCATGCGTCCGGTATGGTGCGAGATGGTTCTTGCTCTCCCAACATTGTTTTTAGTTAGTTCTTTTTCTTAGTCCCAACAATAACCTCATGGAATTAAATCAGTGTGAAACGTAACTATGAGTTTGGTTGTGGGTCTGCAGTAGTCCTAGTGACACGGTTATAGTACAGGACACTGTGATTATTACCGAAAGCACGTATCAAAGCAAGTTGCTGAGACTCCAGCCTGAGAGTATGTATGTATGTCACCACTTTACAGCCGTGTTGATTGGGATTCCAGTATCTTATTCTCTCGTTTACATACAAAGCATGCGTCTGTACGACGACCCTGCAATGTAGCCTTTCATGTTCCTATTTCGGAAATTTCACCGTCTTGTTCTTCGACAAACCCAACAGCACTGTATGTTTGATGTGCATGTATGCCTGTTCCTCCAGGGTGCCTCAGCATCAATCGTCATCGAGTTTGCCTACACTAGGAGCCAGCGTGCCGAGAGAAGGAACCTTAACATGATCCACGAGGTAAATCGGTTGCATATGGGTATTCAGTGTTCTGTGTGTGTGTGTGTGTGTGTGTGTGTGTGTGTGTGTCCCATATGGTGCAGTGGTATGTGCCGCGATTTCCAATCGATTGGTTGCGGGTTCGATTCCCGACGATTATGGTCACACACATCTTTCTTCTCTTTCTCAGACTCTTCCTGACTTTTCTTTCATTCTCCTGGGTGGTTACCAACAGCCAGTGTATGCCGGAGTATGTGGTGTGATGTGTGTGCGGGGAAAATAAACAAAAAAAGACCAAAAAGTAGGGATTCACTGTCCAGAAAAAGCCACTTCATAGCTGTGTGGTGTAGACCAAGCTGAATAATGGCGGCCAATTCTTCAGCCTTGCAAGCTGATGAATGGTGCAATACCAGCACAAATTGCTATGGCTTCTGCTGTAGCATCGCTATCATCGCCTCCGGCGATGGGAATCCAATGGTCCAATGGTGTGTGTGTGTGTGTGTGTGTGTGTGTGTGTGTGTGTGTGTGTGTGCGTGTGTGTGTGTGCGTGTGTGTGTGTGCGTGCACGTGTGTGCGTGTGTGTGTGCATGCATGCGTGTGTGCATGCATGTGTGTGTGCGTCTGCTATTATGGCTGTTCTGTGTGTGTGTGTATGCACATCTCTGATTTAGCCACCCACACTAGTAGCAAGTATTACTTTCACTGGGGCAGGGGTAACTGCAGTTGGATCACGGGACGGATACCCTGATGCCGTCAATCCTTTTTCTGCACCTTGTCCTCACCCACTTACTGAGGTGTGGTGAGCCCATAAGTGGGATCATTCTCAAGTCCTCCCAGAGTTTTGGGAATTTCAGGTGTCGGCTTTTGGGCGGTTCAATAGCCAATTGAGTCATCTTTCCGAGATTCCTTTTGAGTCACTCTGCCCTCTCCCGGGGAGACCCACGTGACCAGTTTGACAATGAGCAACAAGTACAAGTAAAAATATGCGCATGTGTGTGTGTATGTGCAACTGTATGTATGCACACGTGTGTATGTGCATGTAACAGTTAGTGTATGCGCATCGTGTGTGTTTAGGCATGTGTATGTTTATACACGTGTGTATGTGTATGTGTGTGTTTTTTATGTACATGTATGTGTATGTGTATACACGTATGTGTATGTATGTGTATGTGTGTATGTGTATGTGTACGTGTATGTGTATGTGTATGTGTATACACGTATGTGTGTGCGTATGTGTATGTGTGTGCGTATGTGTATGTGTGTATGTGTATGTGTGTGTGTGTGTGTGTGTGTGTGTGTGTGTGTGTGTGTGTATGTGTGTGTGTATGTGTGTGTGTGTGTTTGAGATGCATGCCTCTTTTTCCCTGTGTTTTGTGTGCCTCTTCTTGTGCTTTTCTGGTGTTGTGCATGGGCAAACCTAATCTTGTCTTGCTACGTTCTGTGCTTGCTGCTTTTGGTTCGGAGTTGCAGGTTGCATGTCCCCGGGATAGTCTACCTGGTCTACTCCAAGGCAACCTAGTTTCAGTCGAACATGAACGAGGTAATGCTAGAGTATCTTGCAGGCCAGTGGTGTATGAGATGAAAAAGGAGAGAATTGTGATTGTTACTGCTATTATTAGTATTATGTATTAGGGGCCATCCGGAATTATCGATAATTTTCACGAAACAAAAAAAGTTTAGTTATGACCCTCCCCCACCCACCCACCCCCATGAACAAAAAATATATTGACTTGACAGCTGGAATGGACTGATGTTTCAACTATCAATATTTTTCATAACGAAACTCTCCTCAACCCACCCACTCATGAACGAAACTTTTTCTCTTCGTGAAAAAGATCGATAATCACGGATGGCCCCTTATGGCATTCCGCTTTCCAGTCTCGGTCCCGGAAGGTATTCTGTGTGTGTGTGTGTGTGTGTGTGTGTGTGTGTGTGTGTGTGTGTGTGTGTGTGTGTGTGTGTGTGTTTTGTGCAACCTGTCGTAATGCTACCTTCTTGCCAAAGCATTTGGAAGTTGGACTAGTTTTGGCTCCACAATCCAGTGTGTCGTTACTATATTATAGCTTTCATGGCTGAGGTTATTGGTATGTCTGCTGGCTCTGGGTTCCCAGTACTCAGCAGCCGAGGCTGGTTGGTAAAGTAACACCAATTTCACTTCAATGTACCAGTGCATCTAGTGTCTGCTTCTATCAAAGCAGCATGCTGTCTATACTGGTTACCCCTGCAAGTGTAGGTTGTCCATAGGTAACTGTCTTGGCCGTGTTATGCCGATGTACTCCATGTGGTGTAGACCAGGTGTGCATTGGTGGTCGATTCACATGGCTTCGCCAGTTGTGTGGATTAGACAGTTATCTGGCGCAAGTCTTGATCTGTCTCATTCAGATCTTGTTCGCTATCGTTGCTATAAGAGACAATCTGTGGGTGCACATTCAGTGCATTTGCAGATGTGCGTGCTTCTCTTGCGACGGGTGTATACATACATACATACATACATACATACATACATACATACATACATACGTACAAACATACATACATACGTACATACATACGTACATACATACATACATACATACATACATACATACATACATACATACATACATACATACATACATACATACGTACATACATGGGTGTGTGTTTTGGCGTATGATCTCTCTTTTGGAGGTGGTGGGCAATATGGTCGATCGCTTAATACAGAATCGCCTTCAGTCAAGAGCCGAGAATCTTCTTCCAGAGTCTCAGTGCGGATTCCGACCCAACCATTGTTGTGCTGATGCTGTGTTCACTGTCTGGCAACTCTGGGACAAGGCATACGAGCATTGTACTAAAGTGATTTAAAAATATTTCCTATCTTCGTGGACTTGGGAAAAGCCGATGATTCCGTGCCTAGGTCTGCACTGTCTTGTGCTCTTTCTGTCCTCGGAATTCCTCCGGCTCTCCTCGAGGTCATTGAGTCATTTCATAATGGCATGGTGGCGGAGGTGCGGGTGCCCGGAGGTGTCATGGATGAAATTTGTGTGGAGAATGGCTTGAGACAGGTGCGTGTAATGGCCCCCAGTCCTCTCTACATCATCTGTATCTGACCCGGGTGGTTCAACGTTAGACACGAGAAAACAACAGAGCCGCACGTACAACAGCGACACCGTCGATTTCAACAAGACTGCCGGCATTATCGACTTCCTGTGCCAGTCAATTGCACAGACGTCCAGTCGTTCTTTGGTCTGATCAACCAGTGCAGTGATTTCTTACCAGTGATTCCCAAGCTCAGCAACCCGATGCCTGGGAGGAAGTCTTTTTTCTTGTGTTGCGTGCGTACGCGACTTTCACTCATCGTAGTACCGATACTTGATGTCCATATGCTGTTTGACTTGGTGACACGTGGTACTGCTTTCCACTTGTCATGTGCTCCTGATCAGTTGTAGTAGGACTGCACTTGAACCTGCTCCCGTCCCCCCCCCCCCCGTCCCCCCTCCCCCACCCTCCCCTCCCCCTCCCCTTTCCCCGTTTCCAGTGTCAGAGCCTATTCAAATAGTTATGTTGAACAATTGCAGTTTTGCCTTGTTGAATGGTCATTGTGTCAATGTAATCCTGCGATACGAGTGTAATCCTGTGATACGAGTTACATGGTCTTTGGCGTGTGTTCGTGTTGGTACATTTTTAGACAGGCGAACGCTTTTCATCGGCAATCTCTCTAAGAACAACGATGTCGAACACGTCCGGGACCTGCTTAGCCCATATGGCACTGTCGAAGAGTGCAAGGTGCTACATGACAACTTTAGTAACAGGAAGTCATGTGCATTTGCCACCATGAGGTCCAGGGAGGAGTGCTGGTCTGCCATCAGGGCACCCTATCCCAGGACCATGGAGGTAAGGAATGATACCACACTGCATGTTATCACACAGCTTTGCCAGACTAGAATAGGCGGAAAATACATCCATCGCAAAGAACTTGACATCCCTAGAAAGCCGTGCAAAAGAATCTTACCACGGTGTAAGGGTCAAACCCAAGTTATGCTTGAGGTTGCACATCGTGCCGACTGATTTAACCCTTGACTGACTCACAACTGCCATCTGGAGGACAGGAGAAGCAACTTCCACCCGGCAAACTTGCAAGAAAGTGGCACCCCTTCCTTGAAACGTATTGAATTACAGAAAGAACCAGAAAGAATAGCCGTGCAGTCTGTCTCCCCAAACAAACAAGCGTCGCAGAGATGCAGAAAGAGACAGAGGGAGAAAGTGGTGAAAACCTGAGGACCCTATGATTATTGCCGAAAGCACGTATTTTAAACAGCAAGTTGCTGAGACTCCAGCCTGAGAGTATGTATGTCACCACTTAACAGCCGCGTTGATTGGGATTCCAGTATCTTATTTTCTCATGCACATACAAAGCATGCGTCTGTGCGGCCCTACCATGTAGCCTTTCTTGTTCTTATTTTTCGTAATTTCACCATCTTGTTCTTCGACAAGCCCAACAGCACTGTATGTGTTGATATGCATGTATGCCTGTTGGTCCAGGGTGCCTCCACACCAGTTGTCATCAAGTTTGCCGACCCTTTGAGCGAGCGTGCCGAGAGAAGGAGCCTTAACATGTACTGCAAGGTAAATCGGTTGTGTATGGGTATTCAGTGTTCTGTGTGTGTGTGTGTGTGTATGTGTGTGTGTGTGTGTGTGTGTGTGTGTGTGTGTGTGTGTGTGTGTGTGTGTGTGCATGCGTGCGTGTGCATATGGGTGTTCTGTGTGTGTGTGTGTGTGTGTGTGTGTGTGTGTGTGTTGCTCCGCCGCCTTCCATCTTCGCCGCATTTCCACAATCCTAGCCATCAGTAGAAGAGACACCTGGGACTTCCACACCAACAGGAAGACCATTCTGGAGGCCTGGAATCATCGAGATCCGGTGGATATTACCACACGTGGTTTTTGAGGCCTGTGTTCTGTCCTTACTGCTCTATTGTGCGGAGACGTGGGTACCGCTGCAAAGTGATTGCAACAGATCACGTCCTTCTACTACCAGGCGCTTCTTTCCATCATGAGTGTTGCACAGCGGGATGTGTGGGACTTGAAGATAGCCAAGGACACCATCCTGAAAACATGGAATGCAGCAAACCCACTGGATATCCCCGACCGCCTCATGCAGAGAAGACTGGAATGGCTTGGGCACGTGGTACGCATGCCTGAGGAGCGGATGCCACGGATGTTGTTGTTTGGCACATTGCTGCCACCACGCCCAGCGTGTGGCCCGCGGAAACGATGGCGAGGCGCAATTAGGGTCGACCTGCGACGAATAAACATCACCGACGAGTCATGGTTTAACACAGTGCAGGAACGATCTGAGTGGCGGCAAGCTTATCGAGCAATACAACCAGCTCAGAAACCGGCCCGGGAGATAGTCTGCGAGGTGTGCCGGCGTGCATTTGCTCGGCAGCAAGATATCGCCCGCCACAAGTGCATCATGGAACGGCGTAAACCAGTCCAGCAGCAAGCCAACAGCCACCAGTGCTCCCAGTGTCGGACATGGTTTCGGAGTGCGGGTGGCATTGCAGTCCATCGCTGTGCCCAGTCCGGTTCTGCCCCGAATGTTGCCAATGCCATAAGCTCTTCACCTGTACGCCTATGTATTCGGAAACCGTGCTGTACTGCTCACTGTCCCATTTGTGAACGTTGCTGTAAGTCGATCCCGGGCTTTGCTATCCACAACTGCAACCTATCCACCAGGCGCCCAACTGCTGATGAAAGGGACAAGTTCCAATTGCAATGTCAGAATTGCCAGAGGCATTTCAAAAGGCGAAACGACTTATCCCGTCACCAACGCTCATGTCTCCTCTCGTCTCCATCTCGCTCAACGAGAAACACGTGATCTACATGGCAGTGTATACCAGGACCAGGACCAGGTGTGTGTGTGTGTGTGTGTGTGTGTGTGTGTGTGTGTGTGTGTGTGTGTGTGTGTGTGTGTGTGTGCATGCGTGCGTGTGCATATGGGTGTTCTGTGTGTGTGTGCGTGTGTGTGTGTGTGTGTGTGTGTGTGTTGCTCCGCCGCCTTCCATCTTCGCTGCATTTCCACAATCTTAGCCATCAGTAGAAGAGACACCTGGGACTTCCACATCAACAGGAAGACCATTCTGGAGGCCCGGAATCGTCGAGATCCGGTGCATATTACCACACGTGTTCTTCGCCGCCGTCTGGAGTGGCTAGGCCATCTAGCCAGGATGGACGGCGATAGAACTCCGCGCCAGTTCCTGTTTGGTACGCTCCTTCCGCTGAGGCCGGCTTGCAGTCCTCGGAAGCGGTGGCGAGACTCTGTCAGAGCTGACCTCTCCACAATGAACATCGACCACACGGAATGGTGCGACCTCGCCCAGGAGCGTGGGAAATGACGCAGTGCGTATTCCGCTCATCCAGTACCGCGATCGGCTCAGCGTGACACTTCTGTGCTCCGCGATGTCTGCCAGCGTACTTTCGCCCACCAGAAATACAATAATCGCCACAAGTGCCTGGCCGAGAGGAGGAAACCAATATCTGAGCAGTCTGGCAGCCGACTATGTAATGCGTGTGGGAGATGTTTTTTGAGTGCTGACGGGCTAGCTTCGCAAAAGTGTCTCTCCAACTCGGCTGCTAAAGTGGCCTCGGCGTCGGTCTCGGCGGTGGCATCGGCAGACTCGGTCTGGAAACAGCGGGTTGCCCTGCCCTGCTGCAGAGCGCATTGTCTCGGCTGCGGTCGCTGCTGCAAGTCATCCCGTGGTTTCGACCTGCATAGCTGTGCTAATTTCCTGTCCAAGAAGTAGAGCGGCGTTTCTGGATCCAATGCTGAACTCAGTGCTGTCGACCCCCTGCACAGGGGACACGTGACCATTTGATGGCAGTGTTACCAAGGACCAAGGTGTGGTGTGTGTATGCGCAACTGTATGTATGCACACGTGTGTATGTGCGTGTAGTGGATGCGCATCATGTGTGTTTATGCACGCGTATGTGTGTACAGTAAATCCTGTAGTGGCGACCACTCGGATATGGCGATCTCTCGACCATAGCGACCACTTTTCCTTGTCACGGACGCATTCGCATTCAAAACAGCTCGGATAGGGCGACCACTCGCTCAACGCGACCAATGACCACCCACCCGGGACCGCGTTTCACCCTACTGCTGCTAGTAGATGTCTATGCACACATTGCACTGTGCACCACGCAATGGTAGATCTACACATCAGCGCAGAAAGTGTATAATGTACGTGGCGCATGCACGGCACTTGACAGGTCTGAGGCCCGGCACATGAGTTGTGATAGTAGCATAGGTGTGTGCAGTGGGATGCACTGATCAAAATGATATAATTATCCAGTTACAGGTATAGTGAATATGTTCAAGTGACCCACTGAACCTGGGTAAGAAGACCGCCTGGCCAAGGTGACCTCTTGTTCTCGTCCCTTGAGCGGTCGCCTTAGACTGGGTTCACTGTGCACAAGTGTGTGGCCACTTGTGTGTATGCACGCATTTGTGTGTGTGCGCGTGTGTGTGTGTGTGTTTCTGTGTGTGTGTGTGTGTGTACGTGTGTGTGTGTGTGTGTGTGTGTGTGTGTGTGTGTGTGTGTGATGCATGCCTCTTTTTCCCTGTGTTTTGTGTGCCTCTTCTTGTGCTTTTCTGGTTTTGTGCATGGGCAAACCTAATCTTGTCTTGCTACGTTGTGTGCTTGATGCTTTTGGTTCGGAGCAGATGCTTGCACGTCAGGTTGCTCTATGGCAAGGCAACCTATCAGAAGCAAATGTAGACGGTAATGTTCGAGTATCTTGCGGGCCAGTGGTGGATAAGAGGAAAGAGAGAGATTTGTCATTGTTATTGCTATTATTATGTATTATGGCATTCGGCTT